ATTACAAAATTTTAAAATATAATTACAAACATTATGATAACAAAATTAATTTATAATATCAATAATGTGTGGGCATGAATAATATATGATAAACAATTTAATATTTAATTTCGTTTTAAAAAGAAATCTTATGCTTTAAATAAATGTTCAGGATTTAATGAGATTTATTGTTTTGAGAAAACAATAGCGCTGTTCTACAAAAGGTTGGTCAGTTTTACTATACAAACGGATTCAAAAACAGGAATTTAAACACGAGTTTATCTACTTGTACATAATTTGATGTACATCAAGGTATACACCATCCCACATGAGGGTGGGACCCACTTGAATAAAAAATATTTTTTCCAAGTGGGCCCCACCCCAAGTGAGAGGGTGGATACCTTGATGTAGACAAAATTATGTACAAGTAGCAAGGCTCAACAAACAAATGTACATTTGTCATATTTATATTGGTTGGTTAAAAAAAAAAAAAAAAACANTGTACACAAAATTATGTACAAGTAGCAAGGCTCAACAAACAAATGTACATTTGTCATATTTTTATTGGTTGGTTAAAAAAAAAAAAAGACAGAAACTGCCAACCAGGGTATGCCATTTCAGCCCCTGGAAACACAGTTTGTTACTGAGGCTATTCAAACAGCATTATTATTCAAGTTTAACAATTGTCAAGTAGATTAAACCTTGTTAAGTAAGGATTAAAATATAGATTTTTAATTTCAATCTATCACAACTTTTTAATTAAACATTTTATCAACTTTTATTAAAATTTATTAAAAATATAATTTTAATCCCCGGACTATAAAACATTGTTACTACGAGAACCGCATAATGCGAAACCGTAACATACAGTTCGTTTGACAAAGGTGTGACAGCCCATACGGGCGTCCTAACGGTCCCATATTCAATAATTCATCGATTAAGTAGGCTTAGTACAAGAAATTATAATTTTATTCCAACATAGCTGATTTTACAAAAATTGCAATACTTTACAAATTACACAAGAGCACCACCTATGACATACTCAGTAAATGCCAATGCAACCAAACCCACCATAGCAAATCTTCCATTCCACAACTCAGCATCAGACGTAAACACCCCATTCGATTTCGATTCTGCCCCAACCCCTTTAAACAGAGGAATCAAAGAAGCTGCCGTTAGCACAGCAGAAGTGGCTATGAACCATTGAATTCCACCATTTTGTATCTGTACAAACAAGTCCTGACCATTGGCTAGCTCGACACCAATGGCCGTCACGAATCCGATCATCGCTAGCCGGCCGTTGATCCTCTCCGGTCCCGGCCCGCTGAAGGCTAGTATGTCACCAAAGTTGTTGGTACTAACCTATCCAAATCAAAAAAAAAAAAAAAAAATTACTTTTATAGGAAATTATATTGGACCTTAATATATTGTTCGAATGGTAAGTTAATCCCTAACCTTTGGCTTTAACGGGAATGCCTTTGGTGGAGCTGCTGGCTCTAACACCTTTGACGACGGCTCGGCCTTTGGCTCTGACGAATCTTTCTCCGTGTCCTGTTATATTCAAAGTCGAAGAAATAATTATATCTACAATTGCATAACAAACGTATACTCAAAATTTACCCGTGAAATCAAGAATGAGTTACCTCGGCCATGCTGCTGACTCGAAAATTGACATTCCTCTTGAGACTGGGCAAGTAGCCGGGAACAGCAAAATGTTTTAGGCCAGTCCTCTTTGTGAGTCCCGTACCTGGGGTAAGTGACAAAACACTTGAAATTGCTGCCATGGTGCGTTTGTGGGCTGAGAGAAAATTTAATGTATACAAAATTAAAGACTAAGGAAAGGGGAACTGAGAGTATTTTCTTGATACAATGTGTTAAGGCTGGTTATATAGAGAGTGCATGAGAGCATGGGTAAATTTAATCTGCGGTCATTGGACTTTCGGTAGAATTTCAATTGTGTCACTAAACTTTCATTTTTTTCAATAAGGTTTTTGAATTCAATTCATTTTCGAATTGGGTCAACTAACTTTAATTTAGTTTATTATTATTTCAACACATCATAAAACCCCTATTTGACAATTATTAGTTGAAAATTCTTCTTTTTTATATACATTCTCATTCACGTAATAAAATATTCTGTACGTAAATTCAATTTTTTTTTTAATTTTTTAACCACACATTCTCCTAAAATAGGGGCAACAGTATTAAAAATGCTCTATAACAATTTAATCGAGATGGCTTTGCTATAATCCTCGTTTTATCATGTAGCAATTACACGAGAGATCATGACACATAAGTGAAACTTGAAACTAAATTGATTTTCCCAATAACCTAACTGAAATTTGAGGGCCTATACATGAAATTTACTCATGAAAAGATACAAAAGTGGTGGATATTTTTACATCCACGTAGTTTGATATGGCCCGTTAAAGATACAATGTCACGTGGGTTCATAATATCACACAAATTCAAAATGGTGATTTGGCCATAATATTGACCACAAATTCGAGTGAAAAGTGTCGTGGCCTAGATGGTTCTAGGTGGAGGTACTATGAATTGTCACCATCTTCATTAAGGACAAACAACTTTTGCAGACAGAGGTTCTTTGTTCAACGAGGACAGCACATGAATCCCACAACGTCTTTCAAAATTTCAAAACTTTCATTTTTGATGCACGTTAGATAGAAATAATCAAGATTTTCATAGATTAGTGTTGTGTTTGTAAGATGGTATTAAATGTTATTCCTTAAATTAAACAAGTGATAAAATGGATTTCAAATTATTATTTTTACGAATATTTTGTTTCTAATTATTAAGGTCATTATTCCTAACTTCTATTTGAGTACAAATGATTAAAAATGATTTTAATTATTATCTAAATATTGTTAGTCTAGAAAAGTGCACGAGTAACAATTTCATGTTTTATTTGATATATGAAAAATGTTAGAATTTACAAGTTCACTATCATCATTCCTTTAATACCAATCACCAAATTCCGACAACAATCAATTAGGTGTACATGTTCGATTTTTTTTTTTAAATTAAATAATTTATCTTTCTCGACTTTGGATATATCATACTCAATTAAATCGACTCACTATATTATGTGTTAATAGATTTTAATTAGGAGCATTCAATCACCAAAAAATTCAATTAAATAACCACAAAATTAGTACAAGTATATTTCTACATTCAATTCAAATTCCCATTTTATTATATGGTCATCGATTTTTAAAAAGTTACTTATTAGCCACTGAACTTTGCTATATGTTGCTACTCGCTCAACAAAATTTAAAGTTTACTCTTTGCTTTGAGAATTCTCTAACCCCTCTCTTAGCTCTTTTTTAAAAAATGGTGCCTATTTTTTCCCTTTTTAGTAGCTTCATCACGAGAGTAAAACATTGATTAAACTCTGATCATAATTGAGACGATAAAGAAGTATCATTAATTTCTCTACAATCGTCCCAAGTTTATTGTTGTACAACTAAAGTTGTCAGTTCAAACCAAAACTTTCAAGAAAAGAAAGGAATTTAAAATCACCAGAATATTTTTATCTGGAAAAAGATAGTACATAGCTATCTTTTACTTGAAAAACAGGAATAAATGAATAAATAAATAAATATAGAAGAAACATTAAGGTGAGGGAATTTGTAAAAGAAAATCAAACAAATTCCTAAAAAAATTACTTGAAAATAGACAAATAAACAATTTGAGAAAAATTAATACGAGGAAAATAAAAGCCATATAAACACATTAAACAATAAAAAATAAAAATAATTTCAGTAAATAATTATTAGCTTAAGAAATTCGACTCATAGAATGAAAAAATTGAAGAAAATATAGTGAGTAAAACAAATTTGCAAAATTCGTGGAATAAAAATCAAGAGAATCATATAAATAGATCGGACAATAAAAATTGAAAATAAAATTTGTAGAAGAAAAAAAATGAGGAAAATAGGGTGAGCGAAAGTAATTTTCAAAAATCTATCCAAAATCATGAAAATCACATAAATAAATCTAACCGTATAAAATGAGTAAACGATCTGTAACTTTTAATTTTTGAGTGAACACGATCAAAAGTGAATTTCGTGATTAAAACATTTAAACTACTTGCAATTCGGTGCTTTGATCACGATACATAATTATAAAGGAAATTGGCAGCTCGGGTTCCCAAACACTAAGTAGCACTTGGGGTTCCCATTCTTTATTTTTAGCACATGAATACTCAGATTCGGATAATGGCTGCACCTGAAGCCTAGATTGATGGTTACCGTCTCTTCTACCTTCAAATTGGTTCATGTAGAAAAATTTTTGAGGACATTTTCGTCCATTCCCAAGTTCAGCCATTAGTTGAGTTTGAGGATTCACATGTCAAAAAATAAAGAATGGGGGAACCAAGCGCTAATAATTTTAATGTACGAGGACACACCCCAATCGCCATTTTACCCTAATCACGAAGTAAATGCTATGGAATGGAGTGGGACGATCAATTGTGCAACGTGTACAATAATACTCCCTCCGTCCCAATTATATATGTTGTGTTTCATTTTTTTCTCATGTTTTCAAATGTAGAATATTTTGTTATGTTCATTTACCAATATATCATTATTAAATTTTTTTCACTTAATATGTCAATTTTTTGAAATCATCCAAATACACACGTTTCTCAGTCTTTGGAAATATGGAAAAATTCTTATTTCTTCTTCTTCTTTATCAGTGCCAACGATATTTTAGTTTTACATACTGAAAATTAAATAGGGATAAATTAGAAAAAATCTTGACAAATTAATTTTTCAATGACATTAAGAGCATGTTTGTCTACCATTATTGGTAGAAAAATGGAGTAAGGAA